GGGGTGGGTCATCCTTTTTTATAATGGCAATCGCCACATTTAATTGGCTGGTGTTCATGTATTGTAAAATCTGTAAGAAAGCTAAGAAATCTAACGGAATGAGCGAGTTGTCCCAGTCCAGAAATTTTTAAAATGCTTTGCTCTTTCGACGTGCTGGTCTCTAAGAACACCAAATAACCAACTTGTGCCTACAAGCTATTTATCCATAAGGGTACAGAACTCATGTTAACGGGTCTGGGACTCATAGTCTTGGGCCTGAGACTAGTAGTTTACTGGTTCTGTGAGTCCCAGGACTCACTACAGCCTTTTTCTAGATGGATCACTGTTCCACTAGAAACGAGGCCAGATGCCGAGTGTGTCCTTAATTTTTATGGTCAAGTTTTCTTGAAGAGTTTACAAACATGACTTTAAACATTATTTGTTTTGTAGATGCTTTTGTATCATTGTTAGGAAATCAATCAAAATTATGCCGCCACAAGTTCATACACAAAAGTGACTTTGATGGATTATGCAACCAAAAAAATGTCATGCTTTTTGTACGGGGGTGAGACATGTAATTTTCAACCTTCATCTAAGTGTGGATCGCTCCGTTTTGTGCTAGATGGATATAGTGGGTCATGTATTTGCTATCCACCACATTTTCAATGGCTAAATATTGTTTTCTGGTAATCTAGAACTAAAATGATGTGAAGTTTATATGAAATAATTCATATAATCTAGAACTAAATAATAATCGACGTATCTATGACTGATTTCAAAGACAATGTGCCAGTTTCGTTTCTGGCTTCAACATCGAGGCAACCTTGCTAATTCACCCAAAATTTGTTTACAAAAAGTAAATTTGAGTTTTTCATTTTATTTCATCCTTTTTCCGGGCGGAAAAATCTTTATCATAGACGCCCCAGACTTCTCAGCCGTATAATAAAATGAAGTAAAAGGGACATGATCACTAAAACTTTGCTAGTAACATCAAGCGATAACTCGAGAGAACCTTGTGAAATTGAGATTTCTGTACCCTTATAGCTGGGTAGCTAATAGTGCGTGACATTCCGGGTATTCGAGCCAAACTGTTTATCTGAGAAAAAGTTYTCCCGTCTGCCAGGTTCTACCCTACCTGCCGAGGCCGAGGCGGAAAAACTCGCCAATCCGGGACGCGATCCTCATAAACGGTCAGTTGAATTTTTCAAAGTTCAGCGGAACTATATAAATAGGTCCGCGATATAACGAATGATATTCTTCGCCCCAGGAGTTCCCCAGGAATAGCAAAATACATGCACTCTATGGTAAACAACCGCGATATAACAGGACCTCGTTATATACAGCGATTATATTTTGCCAGTCCCTTGGCCCTTCGAATTCGTTATATCAAGGTTCAACTGTTGCTGGCAAATATTTATGATTTTTTGCATTTCCTTTGTAGCCTTTAGAAGTTTCTTTGTATTGTT